AGGAGCAGCAGCAAGCTGCCGGCGACGGGAGGGGCAGCAGCAACAGCTGCCGGCGACGGGAGGGGCAGCAGCAACAGCTGCCGGCGACGGGAAGGCAGCAGCAACAGCTGTCGGCGACGGGAAGGGCAGCAGCAACAGCTGCCGGCGACGGGAAGGCAGCAGCAACAGCTGTCGGCGACGGGAAGGGCAGCAGCAACAGCTGCGTGGAGGAGGAAGCACAAGGGAGGGAAGCTTTTCGTGAGTGGATGCAAAATGGGTTAGGGAGAAATCTAGACCATGCCTCCTTCTCCTCCTCATCCACCAGTAGGTAAGGACCCTTAGGTAGGTGTGGTGACCACCTTTGATTGGATGGAAGTATGGGTCAAAGTACCTCATGTAAGACCCCCCACCCCCCTTTTTTCCATTTTTTTATTATTTCCTTTACATAAAAGCACTCTAATAAATACCTATATAATATATATATATATATATATATATATTTACATATACCAGTATATATATATATACTTAAAATATTCAAGAATAAGAGAAAACATAAGAATACCTCGTAGCGGAACGAAAGAGAATTTCGGGGTGTTACATACCAATAGGGAGGGGTGCATATATCCTCACCCAACTCTTATCTGATTACAATGTTACTTAGGGGTTGTTTATTTGACTCGTAATAGCTTCATTAATAGGAAACTTCTGAATCGTTAAGAGGTCAATATTGTTTGACAAAAAAAAATGTTTTTTTAATGGTTTTAAAACTCTTTGAATGATTTTGTATCATGAGTCTCCCTTAACCATTAAGCGTGCTAATTTCATTGTAAACAATTACCAAACATTATATTTCATTTTGTACTATATCATGAGAGTCTCTTAATCATTCTGCACCAAATCATTCAGCAATTGTCAAACAATCACTTAATAAGATAAGAGCATCTCCAAAATATACAACCGAACTTCAAAATCTTTAAAAATAAAATACATTCGACTCTAATAAATTCTCATACTACAACATTGATTATATTATTAAAATATTTCTTTCGTCCAATAAATATTATTTCTCTCTTTTAATCTTTATTTTTAAAGTTTTCTGTTGGTTGAAATATATTAAATAATATTTCTATTTCATCGTAATCATTTTTACACGTTTTTCAAATTTGGAAATTTTACATTTTGTCTCCTACTTTTTCCATTTTAGAACAAAAAAACGTGATTAAAATCCCAAAAAACTCTATTTCTCGATTTTGGGGAATTTGTTAGAGATGCTCCAAGTGTGGTTGGTGACTCTTGTCTGTATGTGTTTGGTAAAAGACCCTTTATTGTAACAATTAGTTTTTTTGGGCAAAAATCCAAAAAAAGTGAACTTTCTCATTTTAAGTAATTAAGTTCCAAAACTATTTTTTGAATTAATAAACCATTGAACTTTCTCATTTTTAGTGATTAAGTTCCTGAACAATTTTTTTGAATAAATTAACCATCGGATTTTTAAAAATTGGTTACATACACGTTCTTTTACCTAAATAAACTACCTATAACCGTCTACGAAGACTTAAAAAAAAACTTAATTCAATTTTATCGTTCCCAAACCTTGCAAAATTCAAACCCTTGCACCCAGTGATAGGCATGGGAATGGGGCGGGGACCACAATCCCCATCCCCGACTACTTACTCTCTCCCCGTCCCCG